GTTATCCTTCAGGAACAAACTGCTCCAACATGGGTCCCTCATGGGGTCACAAGTCCTGACAGCAAACCTGTTTCTGCATGGACTTGTCTCTCCAGGGTCCACAGGTCCTGCCAGGAGCCTACTCCAGTGTGGGCTTCTCACCAGGTCACAGCCTCCTTTAGGCATCCACCGACTTTAGCGCAGGGTCCTCCGTGGGCTGCAGGTGGACATCTGCTCCACCATGGACCTCCATGGGCTGCAGGGAGACACCCTACCTCACCATGGTCTGCACTTCAAGCTGCAGGATAATCTCTGATGTGGCACAGGGAGCACCTACTCTCTCTCATTCTTCACTGACTTTGGTGTCTCCAGAGTTGTTTCTCTCACTTATTCTCATGCCTCTTTTCTCTGGCTTCAATTGTTTCTGCAGAGTAATTTTTCGTCCATCTTAAATACATTATCCCAGAGGTGCTGTCACTGTTGCAGACATTAAAAAAGAAATCAATAATTTATTTATAGTGTTTTGGAAGAATACTTCCATTGGGAGAGTGTTTTTGAATAATCACTTAAATTTCAGAGTAATTCTTATATGTGTATATAAAAGTACCTTTAGAATATTTGTAGGATGACTATTCTTTTTCCTTCTTCATAATTTAATACAAAATGAATATATAAAATACACATACATTAATATAAAGATAACTGTGTACTTTAAACTTGAATTGTAATTCTCAAAGTCATTTTTTTCTGGACTGCAAAAATCCTCCCCAGACTACACCTCTCACATTTTACTTAGTTTGCAGCCAGTTAATTTTCATCCATGGTAGATGTAATCTCCTTGGTTGAAACCATCTGCCATTTGAGTAAAGATTATTTTACATTTATTTGTATTTCTCTTTCAGTTAGATACAGTGTTCTCTACTTCCTTGGTTTGGGGAAGTAGTTCGTTTTAGAGGTTGAGTATTTAGGTTGTAGTCACTGAAGCCGTGAACTTTGAAACAGTTATTTTATTTTAGAGTTTTTTTGTCCTGGGCCAAATGGCATAATGTTTATCCTCAATTTGTACATTATTGCAATAAGTAATGTTTTAAGAAGGGTCACCTTTTTATCTGCTTTAATCTCTGGAGTGCTACATAATGGCAGACTTTTTGTATGGTTGAGCATATTGTCTGTTCTAACTTCTGTATTTGTGTCTGAAGAGGCTTCTCTTGCACTGTGCTTTCATGTTCAAATAGCTGTCCTAATACTCTCTATTTGCTATGTGTCAGTGAGCTATAAATCAGGCTTCAGATCACACGGTTTTGCAAGTTGTAAATCTTCTAGTAAAGATCAGTCAGAAATTAATTTAGAATTCTGAAACTGTCTGCAGTGGTATGCTAGGAAAATAAGAATGGTTTATGTTAAAGAATAAGCTAATTTGTAATATACCAAAAAAAAAAAAAGAAAGAGGGAAAGAAAGAAGGAAAGAGAAAGAAAGAGAAGGAAAGAAGGAAGGAAAGAGAAGGAAGGAAGAAAAGAAAGAAAGAAAGAAAAATTTTTTTAATTATTTTTTTACTGTTATTGGCAGAATAACCAGGATCATAGCAGTCTGACCTTTTCTATAGCTTTTGTCTCTTCCCACCTGAGACAACTCAATGAGCTCTGACATTTACCAAGCTGCAAAAAGCCCTTAGGAAGTTTACTGTCTGTCTTTTGGGTGAAGTCACTAAGGCATTTCTCTGTTGTACTAGGTTGTGCCCAGCAAACCACACAACAGACAAACGTCAAGAGGCTTGAGAATAGCAAAGAAACTGTTGGAGAGACTGTGTTATGATGCAAAACTCAAGTCACGCTGAATTTTACGTGTGAAGCACAGAAAACCTACAGCCTTAGATAATAAATTTGTGCATATAAATTCAAGATAAGGTGATTGTGTTCACTTTACTACTTCTGACAACTCTGAGATAATTACATTGGTATCATTATTGCGTGTAACTTCTTGAGGTCCTGCTTCTGAAGTGATAAGAACAATTAATTAATAGAGGTTATGGATGTAATGAAACAACCACCTTTCATTTGCTCTTGTGCCCATTTTTTTTAATAACAATTTTTCCATCTCCTGTCCCCTATCCTCAGGGGTGTAATTATAGCAACACTATTCCTCCAGTGTTTATACTCCTATTTTTACTCTTATCAAACTCCCCACTTTTTAGTTCTACTTCCCATTTTTTAGTTCTCTATACGGAGAGACTGCAACGAAGCTATAAATAGCACTTTATACCAAGTGATGTCCTTTTCTTACATTTTCATTAGAAGAAGTTACTCAACAGCTCTTATTTTTTTAATCAGGTGTTTTCTTTCTATAATAAAGTTCACTAGTGCTGAGATCATCAAGAATTTTTTCAGTGAGGGGAAAAATTCTGACACCTATGACTTTAGTTCTGCTTTATTTACATAATCATTGAAAAATTCTAGAAGTTTTTGCCCATCTCCTCTGAGCATTCTCCTGGTTTAGAGGTTTACTGCTCAGTCACAAGTTTGTAATTTCTTTTGAGTCTGATTCTGATTTTCCATGCATTCAAACCTATAGCTCCATGGCTTTGCATACTAGCATTTCTCACCTCTTTATTATTAATGGGTTTCTTTGTTTGCTTGTTGATTTCTAAACACATAATTTGACAATTTTTATTTAGTGATACATTCCTATTGATCTAACTGTGTAGGTTGAAAACTTATTTCATTCTCCTGAAAGCTACCATGGAAAAATTTGTTATCCTAAGTAAAAGACAACATTCCTAGTCCTTTTTCTATTATTATTTAATATTGATTAAAAGAATAGTATGTTTTATTCATTAATAAAAATACTTATTTGAAACAAAAAATTATTAGACTTTCAGTTGCTTAGGTAAAATTTTACAGGGGTGATTTCAATTTGTTTATAATTAGTATGATACTTAGGTTTTATTCTATACATATTTATAACTCCTATTGCTATTTTCGTTGTTCTCATTGTACAACCCAAAGTTTATACTGCTATAGAGCAGACTTAACTCTAAATTTGCTGTCTTGAATACTAATAACAGTGTAACTATGGCAAGATGAGGTTCCTGGTAGGATAGGGGGATCAGCATTTGTGGAGCCTAAAAAGGTTTTGTAGCTTTCACTGAGCTTTCTGCTGATCACAGCAAGTTTCATTACCCTGTTACCTCTGTGAAAACAAAGAATGTCTTTAGACAGCTGCAAATTACCCTTGCTGGAATGCAATAGAGACCTGATATATTTATTAGGTGTCTGTGTTATGAGCAAAATATTTGTTTAAACTTTAATATATACTTTAAGTATATACTTTAAATATATATTTCCAACTTATGATACCAATTTCCTTATAGTAATGGCTTCTATTGGGATAATGTAGAAAGGATAACCAAAGATTATTATACTGTTGGTCAGTGCCAGCACTAATGGTTGATTTGACAGCTAATGAACCAATATGATGTTGAAAGTCCATAATGTTCCAGTGAGCCAGTCATTAAATGCAGTAATGATAGTTTTTTAAAGGGATTATTACTGTTCTAAACTATATTTAGTGATTTGTAGCAGACATTTCCTTCTTGATATTTGCATTATAGAATAAAATCATAGAATCATTTAGGTTGGAAAAGACCTTTAAGATCATAGAGCCAAAACATTAACTTGGCATTGCCAAGTCTACCGCTAAGCCATCTCCCTATGCACCACATTTTGTGTCTTTTGAACACACCCAGACCTGGTGACTAAACCACTTCCCTGGGCAGTCTGTTCCAGTGCTTGGAATACTTTCAGTGAAGAAATTCCCTAATATCCAATATAAACGTCCCCTGACACAGCTTCAGACCATTTTATCTTGTCCCATCACTTGTTACCTGGGAGAAGTGACCAATCCCCGCCTCACTACGACCTCATTTCAGGTAGTTATAGCGAGTGATAAGGTCCCCTCTGAGCCTCTTTTTCTCCAGGCTAAACAACCCCAGCTGCCACAGCCTCTCCTCATCAGACTTGTTCTCCAGACCCTTCAGCAGCTTAGTTGACCTCCTCTGAACATGGTCCACCATCTCAATGTCTTTCATGTAGTGAGGGACCCAAAACTGGACACAGTACTCAAGGTGCAGTCCCACCACTGCCAAGTACAGGGGGCCAATCACTACCCAGGTCCTGCTGGCCACACTATTTCTGATACAGGCCAGGATTCCATTGGCCTTCTTGGTCACCTGGGCACACTACTGGCTCATGTTGAGTCAGCTGTCAACCAGACCCCCCAGGTCCTTTTACTCCAGGCAGCTTTCCAGCCATTCTTCCCCAAGCCTGTAGCATTGCATGGGCAATGATTCTTTCCTAAGTCCAAGATCCAGAACTTTTCCTTGTTGAACCTCATGCCATTGGCCTCAGTCCATCAATCCAGCCTATCCAGATCCCTTTGTAGACCCTTCCTACCCTCCAGCAGATCAATACCCCTGCCCAACTTGGTGTCACCAGCAAACTTCCTGAGGAAACTTTCCCTTGTCCAGATCATGGATAAAGATACTAAACAGAAACAGCCCCAATACTGGGCCCTGGGGCACACCATTTGTGACCAGCTGCCAATTGGATTAACTCCATCCATTACCACTCTCTGGGCTTGGCCATTTAGCCAGTTTTTTACCTAGGAAGCAGTACACCCATCCAGGCTGTGAGCAGATGGTTTATCCAGGAGAATGCTGTGGGAAAGAATGTCAAAAGCTTTACTAAGTTCCAGGTAGACAACATCCACAGCTTTTTCCTCATTCACTAAGCAGGTCACCCTGTCATAGAAGGAGATAAGCTTAGCCAAGCAATTATGACGTAACTAATTTGGAAATTCTGTAATTCCTGTGAGTTTAGCAAGCAGATTTCTACCACTTATGAAGCCATGCATACTGGGATAGACTAGGTTAGTAGTTGTTATCAACTGAGCAAACAGAATACTTGCCATACTTTTCCTGCTGATATACTGACCTTTATTTTTATTTCTTTATATTGATGGCCACAGAGTGTTATGATCCATTTTTACACTGCTTAATGTCAGTTTAAAAGAAGTTGTGAATTATATTTGAGAATATAAAAAGGGGAGTCTAACAGCAGAGGTTTGATAATCCTGCAGACTCAACTGCTACTTTCACCTTCATGCTGACCTCAAGTAACAATTTATTACATTCTTGGAGGATTAGGCTGAAAGCACAAAAAGCTTAAAATCAATCCATGGCTAAAAAGAAATTCAGACTAACTCTTTATCTCCCTACAAAGCTATATTCATTCACTGTCTCCAATCCTGTTTTCACTTGTTTTATCAGGAAAAGAACTTCAGGGAAGTAATTCCTTGTAGCTGAAATACCAATCTACAGATTAATTAACCCTCTTTTCCTTCTGTAGACTCATTCACTTACTAATGCTTAAAGCTGAGTAACAGTTGTTATCCTTCAGTCAAATGGAAAGTTTTATCTTTATGTTTTAGAAGACTGACAATCTCTTGATCTTATCTTCAGTACAAAAAGGTGTCATCCTAAAACACGTCTGTAACATTAAGCCAGATAATTTATCACTGACCAGAATTTTGTGTTCATTAGAGATGAGGATAGGCTACATCAGTCAAAGTTAATCTGAACTTGCACAAGAGTTTTGTCGTAATTCAGCTCACCTAGTATAAAATGTTCTTTATCTACCTCAGGCTCATGATCATGGTCAGCTTTGTGATGGCTTACTTGATTCTTCACAGCTTGCTTGACATAATAAAATTCTGTAGTAAGGCAAAAAGCTCAATAGTTGTGTCTTTCCTTGGGCAGGTCTCTTGATTTCAGTGTTGTGATTTCTACATCTTTAAATCAGTCTCAATTTAATAACAAAAATATATTTTATTTCCATTTATCCTTCTATAGGTTTTTCAAAATTCTTGTCTCCTACATGTGTTACATATTTATTTGACTACTATTTGTTACAGCAACAAAGCATGCTACCATAATTAGCTAATGCACATTCTTACAATTGGAGAAACTGGGGCAGAGAAATCTAGGGCCTAGATTGTCAAAAGTGTTTAGTGGCCTTATTCTCATTGGTTCAATACCCAGAAGTGACTGTAAAGGAGTGACATATATAATTATTTATAAAAGTCTGGGCCAAGTAATTCAAACAAGAGAATGCAGGAAGTGTAACCACATCTTAAGTCTAGGCCTTTAGCCTTCAGGACCAGGCATTTCTTTTACCAATAGACTCATTTACTTACTAATACTTAAAGCTGTCACAACTGTTATCCTTTAGTCAAACGCAAAATTTTTATCTTTGTGTTTTAGAAAACTGGGGATTTTTTTTTTATAAAACATCTTGTATTTTAAAATATTTCAAAAGGCTTCGTTCGACTTAGAACTAGGAATCATCTTGAGATATAAAATAAAAGCCTGAATGACTACAGATTTAATGGCTGACTAAAATGGTTCCATCATTCCATTATGACGAAGCATCCATTTTAAATACTGAGGAAACTCAATGTTGGTAGAGTTCTTGAAAGGTTACTGCATAAAGACTTTCCAATGAATTTTTTCACCTCAAGGTTAAGTTTGCGTAATTTGTCAAGTTTATATTTTGTCATTCCTGATTTTATTTAAAAGATAGGGTTAACTGCCCTTTATGCACTTGTGTCTTGAGATACACAACCCTAAACATAATTCCAAAATGTTCTTCATTTAACCACCACACATTAAAAAATGTGTGTCTCATCTCTTAAATAAAATATTCATAACAATATAAATCATATAAATTATAGAAGCATACATAAAACAAATGTTAAGAAGGATAGCCTTTTGAAGTATCACGGGAAGCAGAGAAATGAGAAGTCAAGATTTTAAACTGTAGAGGAAGCAAGAGGGAAGTAGATATCTATTAATTCAAGTAATAATGCAAATTTAACCTGTTGTGAAACTGGTTTAGGTCAGTTTAGGGAGAATCTAAATGACAGGAGGGTATATATAATATCAAAATATGTTGTGTGTGTGTGATTGAGAGAGAAAGGGGGAGTTTCGTTTGGCAAGAGTTGAGAATAACCTAATACTTCAATTTCTGCAACTTTGTAATTTTTTGTATTTCAAAATTGGTCACTAGAGGAGAGTTTTAATCGTTCCACCATTGGAAGAGTGTTGATTGTGTCTGTGAAGTTTAGGGGGGTTGATTCTCTTTGGATTTGTACATTTTTAAGCATAGTTACCCAAAGGCTTCCCTTATCTAAGTTAAGACTGTGTGGCTTTGTTGAAAAATTTATCCAACTGATGAGATAAATATTTAGATTTAAGGGTCCTAGCAGATTTTTTCCCAGTTTCTCACACAGCACTAGTGAATGGAATATAAAGTTGTTGCATGTCTTGCAGCCTTTCAGCCTCATAAGCCATAAGTTTACTCAGTCAATAAATAGGTGGGTTAAATATAGCATAGGGGACAGGCATCTTTACCTCATTAATATAAAATAACCATGTTTTTAATTTCAACATGGTGAAAAATTCATTTTATGTACCCATTTTTTGTAACTGAAAATGAGATCCAGTTTAGATGTCTGTACTCACATTCACCTAGAGACCACAGACCTTTTGTCTGTGGCTGGCCAAGTTTCTATATAGGTTATGTCCTCCTATGGTTATCAACATTTATAAAACCTGAGCTCTGAGGTAGTGTATCCAACTGAGGTCTTTTTCCTGGGAAAAGTATGCTTTACTTAGGATCCACAGTAAATAAAATCTTTAAACTTTGAAACACTGTCACAAAACAGTATTTTCTGCACTACAAACTGGATTAATTAGTGGCCAGTTTAGTTTCCAAGTCAAGCTGTGTGTTCCCTGTATCTCTGCCAATTAGGCAGAAAAATATTAGAAGGATGAGATATGAAGGCAGTTTAATTTTACGTTGTACCATCAAAAGGCTTGTAGTTTCCTAATAACACCACAAGGAGCTTAGTAAGAGTTACTCATGAGCATATATTGTCCATTAAATATTGACTATATAAAATATCAATTCTATAAAATACAGAAACCAACCACATTCTTTCAACACATGGCATTTGAAATGTCACTGTATGTATTTATTTCAATATGAAAGTTTGTATCATCCAAGTCAGAGACTACAATTTGTGGTTTACCTAAATCTAGCATCATGTGTGACCAGTCTCATTGTTTTAAAGATGAAGGACGTCTTTTCTTTCTGTCATTTCTCTGGAGCTAGATTTACCTACACATATGGAGATAGACTAATGTTGCTACAGTACTGCTACTGACTGCAGTTCCCCATGAGATCTAGGCAACTAGGAAAAACAGCAGATGTTACCTCTCTACTAACAGGTCATTTACTTAGGATAAGTGGGAGGAGAGTCAGGAAAAAAGTGAACTATAAAAAGTCAAATCCATGAGAACTCTCTAAGCTTTTTTGGCCTGGAAATCATATGAGTGTAACTAAGAACAGTATTTGTTTGGTGGAACGCAGGTTTATAGTTACATAGATATATACAACTATTTTCTCCTGAAAGCTACTGCATACTAAAGAATTGTTTGTACTAAGTGTGTATCTTTAAATCCATCTTGTGAGAAGTGCTAAGCTTTCAGCAGGTCTATAAGACCCCAGTAAACACACTACTTTTGTCAGTAGCTTTGAAGGGATTGGAAACAGTATAATTAACCTCTTGAAAATAGACCATTTTAGCCTAGGTGTGTGTTAAGGGAAAGAGATTGAATTACATCAGTGTAAAAGAATATTTGCAGTTATCTGACATTATTATTATACTTTTTTCTAGAAACAATTGAAGAAATTATTATTTTAGTGGCTTATTGTTGCAGTTGCAATACAGGCCTCCATATATTGTAATAGTAGAGACATAAAGTTTTCTCGGTCAATGAAACAACATTTTTCATATTCTTTTGGGAAAAAAGTAGACTTCAGGAAATATCTCTGACAGTGTTGAAGTACCTGTGTTTTCAAGAGAGCCTGCTGTATACTTTTTAAATGAGTAGGATTAAAACTCAGTGCCCAGCAGAGCCTTCTTGAATTCTAATAGCTTCAGTAAATGCTTTCTGGTGGAACGGAGAAAGCCTGTCTTAACTGCTACTGGCTCTACGTGCCTTTGTGGCAGGTGGGAATGTTCTCTCTCTTGTTGAACACCAATGGTAGCTTAACTTGAAACAGAGAATGAACCCCATTTTTTTAAGGTATTTTCATTCTTTTTACTGAATGAGTGGCCCTTAGTGCCATGATATAGTAATTGGAGTTGGATCAGGGGTTGGACTTGATGATCTTGGAGGTCTTTTCCAACCCAATCTATTCTATGATTCTATGATTCTATGATTCTATGATTTCCTTTTATTTGTGTTTCCACTTTGCAACAAGATTTCCAGTTGGGTTGTTATATTGGCATATGTGATAATATACCACTTCAGGTGAGACTATTTAAGGTTTTCTATCATTTTGAAAACAGAATGCAGGACAAGTTCACCAGTACAATTCGGCAGCTTTGTGCTAGCATGTTGGCACAAAGCAGCCATGAACCTGACTTAACAGACTAGTTAAATTGGTTTTATGGCCTCTTTGTGCTGCGGGAATATTGCAAAACAGCTGGAGTTCATTGCTGATGTGTCTGGTCCTAAATTGCTTACATGGTATGAAATAGGGTTGTACAACTGTCCCATGGAGATTCTTCTCAAAACTGCATTCATCTAGTGACACTGTACCAGCAAAGTTGTGCTTTTAATGAAGGCACATTGTATGTTCCTCATTAGGTAGCTTTCATGTTAGTTGACCTGATGTACTTCAAAAGCATCATTAATCTCATTTCAGTTAAAAGGACAACTGCCTAAGACATCAGATGCACCTGTACAAGTATAGTACTGATCACACATGTACTTTCAAAGTGAAGTTCCTACATGCTGATTAACATCATGAAACCATTCTGTAGCACACATTTAATGCCTTTTGAATTAAGTGAAGCAGAAAGCTATATCCTGGTAGTAGCCTTACTGCATCCCAACAATTAGATAAGAGACTGGTCCACGGTACTGTACACCCAGGAGCAATCCTAATTTTCCTGAAATTAATCAATTTCTTGCCATAATTTCTGGATGCTTGAGGTAGGGTTCTAGACCTTTATGGAACCCAAGTTGAATTCCTTCCGTTGTATAATATCACAACCAGTTTATAATAGATTTTCCTGAAGTCTTCTCTTTTGCAACTGATCTTTTTTAACAATTGTATTGTAACAACATATTCTATCTTCAGCTGCTCACTACAAGGATTGCTTGTATGTTCTATGAATCTAGAATTCTCAGAGTCTGCACACACACACTCTCTCCCCTCCCGACAAAGAATTGTGAGTTGAGGCTTCAGACTACTGGGTAATTTTCTATATACCGAGTCAACAGATAACACTGCCTTTAACACAGCAAGGTAAATGTAAAGCCAGTGTAGGGACTATGTTCATGTAGGTAACTCTCAAGCAACTTCATACTTAGTGACTGTCAGGACAAACCTTTTTTGTGTCATATTTCCCAAACACTTACTACTGAGGGTCATGCACTCAAGGCACACGTTTGTGACTGATGAGCTATTTACCTCCTGCTTCCTAATGCAGTGCTTCCACTTAGTTTTGACTTTCATCTAGTATTTGAGGGGAGGTTGAGCCAGAGATGAGCTGTCCTGCTGTAGGGAAAAGATGAGTTTTCCCAACTCAACATTAGAAGAAGAAGCAATGCTGAAGATTAATTGAATCAATTAGAGGAAAATACAATATGCTGACTTAAGTGCATAAACAACTGGTTTACTATTGTTGCCCTATGTACTTATATTTTAATTACCCTCAGCTCAAGTCAGCGTAAATCTTCAAGCACTGCACATTATGAAATGCTAATTAGTAAATGGGTGTTGCACTGAGCATTGGCTTCAGTTTACAAACTAATTGAAGGGTTTATTCCTGTCAATTTTATTGCAGCAATCCAATCTTGAGTTGAGGACAATGTAAATTTCATTAACAAGTTCCAAATGCTCCACCCCAAAAGTTACGTTGTTTAGGCCAGATGGAGATGGTATTAAGAAAATAAATTATTTGTACAAACAACTGTTATATTATCAAATTATAGAATCATTTAATGGTTTGAGTTGGAATGTGACCTTGAAGATCATTTAGTCCACTTCCATGCCACGGGCAGGGACACTTTCAACTAGGCCAGGTTGCTCAGAGCCCTACCTAACCTGGCCTGACACACCTCCAGGGATGGGGCATCCACAGCTTCCCTGGGCAATGTGTTACAATGACCCATCACCCTCAGAGAAAAGAATTTTTTCCTAATATCTGGTCTAAACCTACTCTCTTTCAATTTAAACACATTCTCCCTTGTTCTGTCACTACATGCCCTTGAAAATGATCTTGCCCTTGGTGAGGCCAACTAATACCCATACCTATACTCACTAATGTTTATATTATTGGTAGTAACGTATAAGGTTTTTTTAATTAATAAAATGAAATCTAGGAACTGGTCATTCAGAAGATTCCACTATTGTAACAATACCAACTGTCAGCATGAACTAACTCACAGTGTGTGGCTGAAAGACCTATGCAGAAACAAAAGAGCTGAATCTCTGCTCACAGATCCAACATATCTCTTGAGTATCTGGAGAATTATTGCCTACACAGTTACACAACATGGAAAGTCTCTGGCATGTCTTAAGACTGAGCTAGCTCATGTTTTCCCAGAAAATTTAGGAACATGATTTAGTAGGAAGGGAGTCACAGATGGTTCCCAAAAGGTTTGAGTGGTGTGACGATACAGTAGTTTGGGTGAAAATAAATAAGTCAATTTTTAATGTTTTCAGAGACTCTGTAACTGTAGCAAGACCTTCCATGTTGAACACCAATATGTTCATTACATGTCATTAAATAGTGGGTTCTTACAACTGAGAGGTGTCACACAGATTTGTGAATTTATAGGGCCAAGTGATGTTACATCTATGAAGCACAGTCCATTTTGCTAGCAAAATTAATACTTAAATCTGGTTTTGGTGCTACTGTGAGTTCATATTCTGTCAACTTAGGAGATAAAATTTATGCTGAAAAACTTCTATTCTGAAACTTTAAACATAAAACCAAATCTGAATAATTTACCATTGCAGAAGGAAAAAAATATTTTTAATCTGGAGTGACTTTTTGACCAAATTGTGTTTTTTAGCTTATCCTGTATGTACTTTACAGAAATTCACAGATGGCTGTTCATTACATGGCTAAGTACTGATTTATAGTAGCATATTTTTAAAGATAGACCAAGGAGCAGGAGCAATTGTGGATAATTCATAAGAAGCAAAACACATAGCAAATCAGGAACCACAGTTAAGGTTTTCTGGGGACCAAAATGCCAATTTTAGAAAGTTACCTTTCTCAGCTTGAAAACCTGAGCTAGTATCAAAAACCAAAGAGATCTGTCAGTAGAGAGAGATGTTGAGGAAAATTAGCCTCAGTTGCTATGCTATGAGCATATTTACTCCCATTAACATCACTTATTTTTATATTAAGCAGGAACTTTTTAAATGGCATTCACTAGCTTTTGTTTGTTTTTCAATTAAACGAATTGGTTGACTGCTTAACACCTATCTGAGACACATACATAATTTATGGTGAGTTTTCAAAGTGCTTGTGTTTATTTTCGTGTCACAGAAGCACTCTCAAGACTATTGTTTAAAAAGATGACTTCCAGGCAAAAACTGTCATTCTAACCATCCCTAAGTTTTTCAGGATCTTCATTTCTGAATCAGCATGCAAGTGAAATACTACAAAGCGCTGGCAGTAAGGAAGTGCAAACTTGATTATTTCTCATTTTTTAAAACCCTATGATGTCATTTGTTTTTCTAAATCTATACTTAGGAGCTTAGCACTGAGCTCTTACTTTAAATGGAAAATAATTAATTTTAATGCCTGTTTCAATTAATTAGAAATTAATATAATTATTATATAATTATACTTTATACTTATATACTATATTATATCATTATATAATTAAATTGTTATCTTTATATGATCTGAATGCTTTTGCATTCACCAACTGTGCATGTAACTATTTTCTCAAAATTACAAATTAATTTTAAATGTATTCTTCACAGAAGATATCTGCATTATTGCTCTTTCATATGTAACATGTTAACACTCCACTCTAAAAAGACATACACACTTATTATATATCATACAATAATGTCCTTATTAATTTATTTAATTATTTTAATATCTAATATATATTTATTCAGATGAGCACAGGTGAACATAGACAAAATGTCTAGCAGGAGAAACTTGATTGCATTACATATCTGCTTGAAAAATTAAGTGCAGTATAAAAGTTAGTACATTTTCTGCTGATCCCAGTCAAGTTTCTGTGGAATAGTTAAAGTCCGAGTTCACAGTTAAGAAATAGGTTACCCTATTCATTGGCAAGTCTTGTTGAATTCAAAATTCAACAACCTTGTAAAGGTTAAGGAGCTGAAGGAGGAAATCTACTATATTATTAGCTACCTAATTCTGTCTAGGAAATGTGCAGCCATTGGTAAAATTTTGCAGTTCACTTATGTAAGCTCACATACACATTCAAGAAAACAAGTCTCAATGTGATAGTAAAACTGAACTTTCCATTTGTTTGGATGGATTATGGGTTTTTTTCTTGTTAAAGCATGAGTCTGAACCTCCACTCACCTGGAGTTTGTTAGTATTTGGAACTGAAGTTTGCTTCAAGCCTGAAAATAATTATGTTGGCCAAATCGTTGCTGTGGATCTATTAAAATTTCTGTAATACCTTAACCAAAATAATTTTTCTTGTGTGTGTACAACCTCTTTGCTATCAGATTGTTTCTAAAATACAAGGGAGGAAGATAGTCTTCATTGTAATAATAAAGGCTGCAAAAAGATTAGACATGGATTAGTTATATAGAAATCCCTTTTCAAAAAATATTTATGTGAATAACGTGTTAACACTTTTACTAGTTAATAGTAATAGGTTTTGAGTCTCCAAAGATGCCCATGGTTATTTTGAACTCATGGAAAACAAACATTCGATTATAAAACAGATCAAAACAAAAATAAGATAGACCATTATCTGTATAAGGTCCAGATTGTTTTGTATTCACCGACTGTGCACGAAACTATATTTTCTCAAAACGCCAAATTATTTTTAAATGCATTCTTCTCAGAAGGTAATGTTATTATTGCTCTTTCATATTCAATATGTTAACACTCCACTCTAAAAAGTACATGGAGTTAAATTTTAAACAACCAACTGTTGTACATATATGTTGTGTTTAAGAGTGGTGTAATATTTGATTTATTTTTCCATTGAAAAATAATCTTATAGATGCCTATTACACAGAAATAAGTCAATGATATTTACAGGAGAAATGTTAAATCCACTACACATGACAAAAGACGATGTGAATAGTCCTTCAAAATCCTATTTGTTGGTCCAAACATGATGTCATTTAATTTTCCATAAGAGCATAAGAAACCAGCTGAAAAATAGTGGTTAGAAAAATTGAGTGGGCCATTTTACCTATTTCCTCACCTAATTCCACAGTTCATTTTCAGAATAATTTTGACTCGCAGATGGAAGGCAGTGCTGATTTCCCTTTAGTCAGCTTTCTCTGAGTAGACCTGTACCAGACTTCAGCTTTCAGGAGCTGGCATAAAAATGAGCTGAACCACCCCATCAAATACAAGAAGTTGTTTCACTTCTTGGGTCCACTATAATGGACCTTGTTTCTGGGAAAAAACTTCTTGTCATTTACCTGTCAGGAATCTGTACCGACAAACTGTTCACATACAGTCCATACAGTGCATCTAGATACAGGAGACTTCCGGTATTACCATGAGGCACACCACATAAGCATAAATTTCTCTAGCTGAAAATATTTAATAAGGGGGAAAAGACTAAGCAAGTACATTCATAAACAGATTTCTTCCCAAAAGCCTAGTCAAGAATGCTGGCTATTAACAGCATATTAGTAGTAGCGTTTTCATTCCAAATAATAAGTGATTAGCCAACCACATTAAACAATAATGAGAGCCAGTAATCATTTTTTTATCAGCAAAATTAGCCTGGACTCATTTTAAAACAACATTTAATACAAGCAGCTTAATGAATATGTAAAAGGTAAAAGTTATGCACAGAACCAAATTTTCTCTGCAAACCAAAGATAATTACTGTATCTTGACTGTTATACATGAATTTCCATAGAACAGTTCTTTCCCCACTTCTCATTCTTCTGCATGCATAAATTATGACAGTTTTCTGTTGGTGTCTCCAAAGGACTCAGTTTTATATGCAGAATGAAATAAATTACTGATCGATTTTGATAACACTCAAGATCTTTGATCTGCATTTTTGATACAAGATCTTTGAGAAACCTATCTAAAGAATAATAATAAATCAGATAATGAAAAACATTTTTACAAGAGTATGAGGACAAACTTGGTATCTTCTTTCTCTTTGTAGGAATAACGTGGTGGAGTAGGCTGGATTTATATAGACACTACAGGCGTCCTGGACTTAGAGTGCATAGAAGTAACCTATAACCATGGTTTTTACCATTGAGATAACTCTGTGTCTTGAAACTGGCAATGAAATGTGATGGAAACTAATTATAGTAGCATTGTAGTGTTCCGTTCTTCCAGCAG